TGAACTGAGCCCACCACACATACAAAATAGTGTGAAAAGACCACCACAAACAGTCCATATGCCAGAGCAGCATGGATTTCCCTACTTCTTTAGGTTTCAAATTTATTTTCATCCCTGTCTTGTTCTTACTTTCTTAACAAGCTCATCACAAAAATAATTTCAACCCTATGTTACACATACATATTAAGTATTACATCAGGTTTTATACCTAAGCAAACTATCAAGTCTCAATATTACCATCCAGTAACTTTTAAAATATGCAATAAAACTTCAGAATACTTAGCCACATAAGCTATGTTAAAGTAACATAAGATCTCTGCAGACCGCATAACTATAATTTTTGGCACATTTAAAAACTGGGCTTGGTGACACTAAAATATCTCACAAAGTCAAGATAGAGACAGTTAAAGGTTTTGTGTTCTATAAGATTTAGGGTTCCAAATGACACAATTTCTTGGTTTATGCTCTTTCTTGTCTATAAATTCTTCAACTTGTAGAAGGTTCTAGACCATATAACTCCAAGGAAGCTTTAGTTATGCAAAAGGCACACAGAATATCAATATACAGGGAAACATATTGACAGAAGTTCTAGAAGTTATGGACAAGACTAATCAATTATGATGAACAAATTGCCTACGACTCTTCCAATTTTCCCCTTCCATCCTTTCTTCCTGTTCTATCCCCTTCTTCTATCCTTCTCTTTCTTCTTACATTTATTCATCAAAATAGGGATAATGGCTCCATCTCAGTATGCTTGCACGTCCTGCATTTTAGGCATGATGGGTTCTGCCACATTAAAATACAATGCATAATACAATGAAAGAAGGGAAATAAACCCAAAGGTGATTAATGACATTTTACTTAAAAGTTAACACAGATGTAACATCTGTCCACAAATGGTCCTTCCTCCCATGGAAAGAGGGAATATTCATTTAACATTTTCACTGCAATATAAAGGCATGGATTTCCAAATAATCACCTTCTTTATATGGTATGTAACTAGTATTAAGTCTGGGTTTATGTGTAGGGCTCCCAGTTTTTAGATCCACCAATGGAAGACTCAGTTCATGAGCCCACAGAAGCAGCCCCTGCGAGCAGTAAACCTTATGATTCCCCACCCACTGCTGGCGGAGGTCAGTATCCCTGTCATTAGCTAAGCCATAACATAATTGCATTAGCACTCCTTATGTGGGCAGATCCTGAGCAATAACTGAATGTGTCACATCATTGCAAAAATGAAAAAAAAAAAAGTCTTTGTCCCATTTTAGCATAAACTCAGTGAAAACAGTCTTTAGAAATGACACTGCACTAAGAAACTGAAAGCTGTTATTACCCCTGTAGGTATATGTTCAAACTGATGATTTGACGTCTTCAACTGAAACAAAAAAAAAAAAAAAAAAAAAGACTATATTTTGCTACTGAACTCCAATTGGGAGCTCATTTAATCTAATTTCTTTTGGTATCATTCAGTTCAATTAAGGGATACACTGTTACTTAAAATAGTCTAATTGGATGAAACTCTGCTCTGGTACCCATCTCTCAATGTCTACAATGGAGCTGTGCTTTCAGTTCCAAGTGAAGGGAAGGCTGTTTCCTCCAGCCTACATGCTTCTGGCCAGTCTCTGAGCTCCACTACTCTCTCAAAAGCTGACCTACATACAACATACACCAGGCCACCGGTTCTGGCAGTTTGTATAAGGAAAGAGGTGCCTCGTGCACTTGCTGTAACCGACATCATTTGCCTTGTTCCCCCAACAGGCTATGTGAAGTGAAGGCCAGTTTGCAGCGTGATTTGTTCATCATGTACGGGGCTCTTACAAAAGAGCACTGGGTGAAACTGCTTCCAAATGTGCCTCCTACAGAGTTTATTAACTGAAAAATCTAAATAGCGTTTTGGCAATGTACAGAGCAGTGGGGCTGGGAAGTGTCAGCCGAGTCAAACAACCCACATTTCAATTCAGAAAAGCTCAGAAAGAGGATATTCATTTTCTCAATTAGGGTCTCTTCTGACATTGAAAAAAAATTGCCACCGGAAAACTATATTTACAGTTGTAAGGCACCAAAGCACAGAAAGTTATGGTTCCCCTGGGATTCAGCACACCAACTCTAAACAGTAATGTGCTGACAGGTTTCAAATAAAGATAATTAGTAATTTATGATCTTATCAACCTGTTAAAAACAAATAACCCAACAAAGTGACTGTTATTTCCAATAAGCTGCATATTCATTACATCTCAGAAGGAAAGCAGGTTTACTTTGCAATCTGTCTCTATGGGGAAGTCTGATTCAACTTGGAGTTTTCTAAATATAGATTCGGATTTCTTTTTTTCACCTTTCCAAACTTCTCCTCTTCTTCCACATCACTGCAAAATGAGCACTAATTGACCGAATCCCAAGCAATTCAAACAGTGGATCTAGGCAGGAATGTTCTACCAATGCAAATCACGATGGAGGAGGGAACAAGTGCCTGGGCTTTGTGGGACCTTGAAACCTTCTCAGTATGTTTAATACAATCAAGGATCAGTGACAAATATATTTGATAGACTGTGACACAGGGATGGGCAGGGGAAGAGTCCCTGGAGACACCTCTCCATGAGGTCTTTTTCTACTAGAAGAAACAAGTCTTATGACTTTGCATTTTTAAAAATCCATTATTCCCTGTGTAAGTTAAATAGAAGACTTGCAACTAGTCTATAGAAAGGATGGCTAATTTGCATTTAAAAAGAACAGTTTGCTTCTTACACACAGGATGACTTAAAAGGAACTTCAATGAGCTAGTAAAGAAATGGTGAAGACTTTCAAAATTAATTTATTCAATTCACAGCACAACCCTCTAAAATTATTTAAGGCACTTAATTGGAAAATGATTTAATATATTGAAGTAATTCCTGATTTTCCAAAGCATTTAACTTTTAAATTAAATCTGACCCCACTATCACAAGAATGACGAGTGAAATGCGTATTCAAGTCATTACCTTCTTTTTTGGAGCCTAAATTCTCTGATAAATGTAATGAGACTTCTAGGGTTTTATTGCCAAAAATGGTGCTGATCTTTTGATTCTGGCAACAACTATAAATCAGGTCTTTAATCTCCAAGACAGACCTGCTACTTTAAAGAAAAAAAAAAAAAAGTAATAGTATTCTTGTTATAAGAAAAAAAAAAGTAACAAGCACAAAACATTGGGTTTTAAAGTCAGATTAGATTTTTGGCTGCAAAAATGTTGTTACCAGCAAAGAGTAAAACTTCATTTCACTAACTCCTCTGTGACTGCTGAAGTTCCCAGTACCTTTCAACTTGCCCCTGGCTCAAGAGCTCCCTATGTGTACTAGTCTTTCTATTTTACCCTCTTGTCTAACTTCTAACCTCCTTTGCACACAACTCTTTTACTGAGTGTTACTGTGGACATGGCACCCAATTGCTTCTCCACAGGGTGATGTCTGTAGCTCTTGTAACTCACAGCTGTGTGTGTGTACGTCCAAAACTGAGAGCTACTAGCCTATCTCGTGGTACGGAGCCCAAGGGCTAGGGGTACCTTCTGCTAAACACCCCTAACATCACATTTAAAAGTGATGCCCCCTCAGGAGACAAACGTTGGGGGTCCCAGCGACTTTTCCCGTGGAATTCACCTACAAGTCAATGAGAAGTGCCTGAAGGGACTGGGATAATCTGAAGCTTTTATCATCAAGCCAGAACTGGGGGCGCGGGGGGGGGGCGTCCTAAACGCCCGCAGCCGCCACGCATTTCAGAGAGCACCCTCCACCAACCTCTATCAGCCAGGACTGCTCAGACACGTCCAACAAGCCCCGGGCGAGGAGCGATGTGGCCTGTGGCTGCTCTGGGGGGTGGGGGTGGGGGTCCCATCCCTTCTTGTCCCTCTCTGGTTTTGCCTGTATGAAGCCAGGAGAGGAATGACTTCTCTGGGAACCCCTGACTGTCCTATCCTTGGGCCAAGCCGAGCTCTGGAGCAGCTTCCCCGGTGTTTTAATTCTGGGTCATGAAATGCCCATTTCCAGTCCTGAGTGGCCCTTGCACTGGTGGCTAGCCCACTGTGGTGCAGCCCAGCCAGGGACCCCGCTTCAGGAGGGGGACCAGCATCCGAGCTTTCCACTTGAACGCGAAGCGCTAGCTTGGCTTCCAGTAAACTTGCTATTTTTCTACGCACCCCAAACGAGAGCCATTGACCCAAATCACAATTCGGCTAGCCCTACACTGAGCCCTGAGCCACCAGGGCCAGCGTCGGAACTCCGGCTCTGCTGCCAGAGCAGAAAACAAAAGAGTTATAGAATAATTTTCCCGGTGCGGGGAACGCCGGAGCCTCCGGGGTCTTGGTATCCCGACTCCTGGCTGCTCCTCTGGCAAGTGATCTGGAGCAAGGAAGCGATGCCACGAGTCCCCGCTGTCCAAGAACGGGAGAAGAAGGAACTAGAAAATAAAGTGAATTCTCCTACTCTACCTCAGTTCCCAGAGCCCAGACACACCCCCAAAGTATTCCGTGGATTTTTCTCTCTCCATCGCTCTCTCTCTCTCTTTTTAAATGTCTCCCGGCAAACCTAAGCAGGGATCCTTAGTGGCGAACAGCAGGAAGGAAAGAATCCGAGCAAATCGTGTCACTTTCCGCACAATCGCGTTGTTTGGCAAAACCCCTGGAGCTGCTCCTTAATATTTACTACCCCAGCGCACTCAAAGCCGCCGCGGACTACGACCGAGCGCGCCCGGGACGGGCCTCTGCGAGCCGGCCCAGTCCGCCCAGCCGGCCGGCCCCGTCGCGATCCGGCCACCGCCGCCCCCCTCCCGGGATCGAGCCGCCAGAATCCGTGCAGACAAAAGCAGAGAGACTTTCACCTTGTTGCAATAGTAGGAGTCCAGGCAGGGAGAAGGTCCCAGACAGGGAGCGGCGGGCGCAGCAGCGGGCTGGGCTGGAGGTGGATAAAATCTTACGTCCATTTCACTCTCACATCAAGCAACTCCTTTTCTTTTTCCTTTTTGAAAAAAAAAAAAAAAAAAAAAAAAAAGTGCGCGGCCAAAAAAAAAAAAAAAAAAAGCTTAGACGGAACAGAGAGAGGCGTCTGGGCTTAGGAGTAAAAGAAACACCTTCCTTCCCTCACATCCGTTTGTGGTTTGTTTAAGAAGAGGAGAAAAAAAGAGAGAGAGAGAGAGAGAGAAAAAGAAAAAAAAAAAGAGAGTGGAAAAGCGCTCAACTCTCCCCCCCGGAGCCGCGGCGCGCACCCGTCCACGCCGAGCGCGCAGCCTGCTCGGTCCGCTCGGCCCCGGCGCTCTCGGGCCCGCCGCCGCCGGGCAGGTAACTTCACGCGCTCATTGTCCCCCCCGCCCGCCGCCCCATCCCATCCCCGCCTCCCGCGCCCCTCGCCGCCCGGCACTCGCGCTCGGGCTCGAGGTCCTGGGCGTTTTATTGGAGACTCTGCCTTGCTCTGCTTTTAGTTTTTTTTTTTTTTTTTTTTTTTTTTTTTTTTTTTTTTTTTTTTTTTCTTCTCCACGTTACAGGGGGCCTGGGATGAGGGAGTTGAGGGGGGGGGGAGGGTTGGTTGGTTTTGGGGAGATCGGGGAGAAGATCGGGGACCGGAGGAGACTAGCGCCTTGGCGGGCTGGGTGCCGACAGCCGCGAGACTGTGGCCCGGAGGTTACTGTTGGGGGCCGGGGACCAGGAGGAGCACAAGGGTCCGAGGGTGGGGGGTGGGGGGTGTGAGCAGTAGTGGCGGGACCCCCGGGCAGCGTCCGCGATGCCCCAGCGAGCACCCCCGGGGTGGGTGCCGCGGAGGTGGATGAAATCACACAAAGGGGCTGGAGAGTCGGAGCACCGGCTGAGTGGGGCACCGCGGGGATCGCACGGCCAGGGGGCGCTGTGGCGCACCCGCCCGGCCCCCCGCGGCCCCGCCCCCGGCCCCACCTCTTTCTCCGAACCCCCTACAACTCACTCCCGCCCGGCATCTCCCACACCCCCAACCTCCGCTCCCTGCCGCGGGAGGTGGAGACCCAGTGTACCTCCTGGTGCTGCTCCGGGGGGCCCTGCGGAGAGCGCGACCCCTGCGCGAGGCTAGTGGGCAGCTGTCCAAGGGACCCCGGTTGATCTCAGGGCCAGAGGAGCAAGTGCCCCTGGAGTTGGTGCTCAGCGGGCCTCTGCCATCCTGCCCGGGTACTCTGCGGAAGGGGGGGGGGGTGCCGAGCTGAGCCTGCCTTTGGGGGACTCACGAAAAGACTCTAGGGGTGCTTGGAAGGGGGAATGAGGAAGCAGTTATTAGCATACCATGAGCTACAGGGAACACGCCTGGGTTTGCTAGTTGCCTCTTGGAATTATACTTTCACTGCGGGATACTCTTGGATCCTCCCTTTTCTCCCCCTCACCCCCCCTCCCCAGGCCCCACTCTACCCTCCATGACCTGCAGCCCGCTTCCCAGTTCTTTCTTGGTCAGTGGGATAAGGATATCACCACTATTTTGCTTTACCTCGTCAGCCCCAAAACTTGCAATATCGTGTTCCGTGGCATCTGGGAAAATTTTGGGACCCTTGGTCCAGCGGGCACTCTCCAATCTCTGGAGAAAGTCCTCAGAGGGAGGTAGAAGTAGAAATGGACAGTGCTTACCTTTCGAGGGTAAGTTCTTCAGTGCCACACAACTTAGGTGTCTAAGACCCCGCAAAGAAGCCAAAAGCTCATTTCCACAAGTTTCTGGCGTCAAAGAATATATGGAAAGCTTCTTGTTCCCTGTATACCCTTTCGGTGCAATATTGGTGGTAGCCAGCTACTCCCCAGCTCCTTATGGCTTTCTCCAGGTTTCCCTGTAATTATGAGCACCAGTCAATTGCAAAGACCTGGAAAAACTACAGATGGCCTGTTAGAATGGTTAAGTTAGCATCCTTGGGCCTCTAAGGAAAGGCCTTTGGGAACCTTTCCTCAGACTTTGCTCTCCACCCCCAGCAGCCTTTTTCTTGTAACCCTTTGTCCTTGGGTCTTTCTTTTATAGGTAGTAAGGACACAACTTCTGGCCTCAAGACTAACATGATGGATGTCGGAGTGAGAAAAAGAAAAGTCAGGAAGGATTTTTCACTCCACATTTAAACTCCTTTGAGTCAAAAAAACAAGCAAAAGTGTGATCTTTTCTCTAATAAAGGTCTTTATCATAATGTTTACACAAGTTTTGTGGTTCATAACAACGATTTTTAAAGTTCATTTGTAGGTGTTAAAATGTGTATGTGTGTGTGTATAATAAATATACCATAGGTGTATATTTATGTAGACATAAATAAATGTAGACATAAATATACACATATGGTAAATAAATATATAAATGTAATATTTATTATCCATACATATAATAAATATGTACAATGATAATAAAAGGTTTTAGTTTTAAACGAAATATACCTAAACAGAAGTTTCTGCCATCAACAGATATTTATTATCAAAAAATTATGTCATATTAAGCTTGAGCTTTATGAACTTAGGAGTCATAATCAACTTCTCTTTGGCCCTGACAACACCAAAAAAATGGACTGGTTTACAGCTGGAACAGCATTACTGTCAGAGTCTTGATACCTTGGACACACTGGAGGTATCATAGCACTTCTTCCGACTGCCATTATGAAAACCCCAAATGCTAGGGACCTGTGTCTTTCCAGTACCAGCCAACAGCCTGAGTTCTTCCACAGGAAGTGTGTGGAGTCAAAGTGGGATGTTTGAGCATTGTATGGTGAGGAATTTGGTCTAGTGGGAAGAAAGTACTTCAGTCACTAGAGATTTTTAATACAAGAGTATGGTCATCTCAACATAATAATTAAAAATACCCACAACTGCCTAACATCCTACCCAAGGTCTACAATATACTGAATGCTAATATTACATTTCAGTGGAGGGAAAGTTGAATAGCTACACCTTAAACTTAATATTCCTTTACAAAATGAATAGTTCTCTTCACAGCATGTTGTGTGACTCATTTATTTCTTTAGTCATTTATTTGTTTAGTACCAAGGAAACAGAGAGACACACCAAACTATATGGCTTTGAAAACCAAAACAAAAAAATACTTAAAACTGGGCATAGCAAGAAAATGGAGACTTATTTAGACACCCATCAAGAGGTGAGTGAATAGTGAAAATGTGGTTCTTAAACACATTGAAATTCTATGCTGCTGTAAAGGAAAAATGAAATCAAGAAATTTTCAAGAAAATAATGGAACTAGAAAGTATTATATTGACTTAACTCAGAGACAAAAATCACATGTTTTCTGTTGTATGTAGAGCCCAGCTTACAATAGTCATATTTATGCATAAAAGCTAGAGTCAGTATGTGCACAGGCTATGAAGTTAGAAAGGAAACCATAGATGGTACCTCGGAGGTGTAGAGGAAGCCAGGAGGGCAATAAAACACAGGAGAGAGGAAAATGGAAAATAGAGTAGGTGGGTACCTGAAAGGGTACAAGAGGGAGGGTCAGAGAGATGAGAAGAATCAACAAAAACAAATTTTGTTTTAAAATGCCATAAGAAAAGTTAATAATTTATATATGCTAGTTAAAAATAAGATAAAAAAAATAAAGATGGAGGCAGAGGGATCAAAAAGCTCAAGGTCATTCTAACCTACACACAAGGTTGGAGGCTAGCCTGGGATACAAAAGTCCCTGTCAAATAAAAATAAAATAAAACACACTGCTGAAAATGATTTCTGCTCTAGATTAGCTACAGTCTTCAGAATTGTCTTTGCCAAACTTGTTGGATCTGTGAAGTCACCTTAACAGCTTTCAAAAGTGCATCTGCCTGTCCACCAGCCCCATGCATTCTTCGTCCATTTATTTAGGGATGGGCCTGGCCTAAGGAATGGTTAAAAGTTCTCCCTTGGCTAATTTGCTGTGATTAGGAACTTCACATACTCTGAGAGAAAATCTGTGTCCATGAACAAGCCTCTCCTCACTAATTTAGTGTCATCAGACCAATACTTTGACTTGTAAAACACCTACTGAGTCTTAGATTTGATCTGAATATTTTTATATTTAGTTTCACAGTTTCCTTTAATTTTATAAATTACATTGCAAAAGCCTAACCAGAACACAGCCAGCATTTTATTTTGCTGTCTCAATGTCACCCATGTTAATTTTAATTATAGTTTCATAAATTGTTGTGTCTTCAAATTTGCAGATGTTTGCACTGACAACATTTTGTGTTTGCTGATCTCTTCTATTATGTGCACAAGCCCTAAATCTTGCAGGAATTTCCGCTAATCACATACAAAGAATGTACAACTTTGGGAAAATATTTCCTAGACAGCTAATCCTATCTGTGAATCACAAAAGTTTTATAAAAATCATTGGATAGAAAATGGTACTTCCTGCTCAGCATTTATTTATTTATTTATTTATTTATTTATTTATTTATTTATTTATTTATTTTTGTTTAGGGGTTGCTGCTGGTTTCTCTCTAAGGGTAGAATAAACCATCCTGTAGTGGGACTGGTTGTACAAAGCTAGGCATTAAAACCCAAAATCTACTGAGCTGGATTGCATAACTAAATTAGGACTCAGTCCTGGCTTCTCCTAGCTACAAGGATGGAGATTCAGGGCTGGCTGATTTAGCATCTTTCCAGTAGAAGACAGGCCCCCTGCCCTTTATTTGGCCCCTTGTATGGCTCCTTCTATTGTAAAGCATGTTGTTAATGAAGGTGTGCTCACATTTACCTTCCCAAATGCATCATGGGAGAAGTTTTGTGTTTGTTTCATTGGAATCTTAATCGGCACTCAGTCCTCCCCATTTTAAAGATTTCAAAAACATCATTAGCAGTTTCGATGGGAACCTTTACATTTTCTCAATTTACTGGTTAGAACTCACTGCTGTCCAGGGTTATTTAACATTTTTCTTAAGTAATTTAAATGTAAACTAGAATGATGCACAGTAAGTAATATCTTACAGTGGAGGGGCAGAAAGCACTGGAGTTTGTTTCCTGGGGAGACGAGTGAGAAATGACTAGATTGTAAGTCTTTCAACCAGAAAATAAAGGATTTCAGAATGATGAGGAAAGTTTGAAGGAAATGCTACTGGGTGTACAGATACCTCACATGGCACTAAATGACTCATAAAATGCAGTATTTCTTACATAATGTGGGGAGTGTGTCACGCATGTTCATCTCTCCATTGAGTGTGGTACAGTACTTTGATCTCCAACAATGTACAACATTGGAGGCATAATGACGGTAATAGGACTATTCAGCTCTTTTACACTGCCATGACCCAGTTCTCTCTCATCAGGATAAACCGTGAGGACAAATCTTTTCAGAATCAGAATTAGTTCCTTGTAGAAGAGTGAGACTACAATTATCCTTTAAATAGGAGCAGCTGCAGCATCGTATGGGCCCAGAGTGTGGCAGTGAAGTGTTTATCCAATGCAATTAAATAGATTTTTTTTTAATGCAAACTAATATTCTGTTAAAAGTCAATTGAAAGGTGAGTAGGTGTGGAATTGCTGAGATGAAAGCAAGAGTCATTTTGCTCACCTGAGTTAATATTCCTGCCCGAGTAAATGTTATTTTACCAAAAATGGATAATCAAGACTCATATTTTCTATGATGTAGGGCCCCAAACAGAACCAGGGGAATACAAAAGAAATATAATTTTAGTTTATCTGTGCTTTCTATATCATATTTTGAAATGTTTCCATAACTATGTTTTGTTATTGTTGGTTTTGAAAAAGATATGTGCCAAATGCTGTTTGGCTTTGCTGGATTAAATTGAAGTTTGATGTTTCCTGATGCCCATTTATTTGCCTTTGATCTATGATTGTAGACTCCCTTTTCCAGCAAGGTTCTAAAAGCTCCCCCACCCTCCCACCCCCCACACACCCTGATCGGCGGGGGGTGGGGGGGGAACCTAGGTTCTTGTAAGGAGACCTAGTACTCAAGGAAGATTACTGGCTAGATCCTTTCTATTTCTATTTCCTAGAAATACCCCATGCTGCTAAAGATCTTAGTCTTCAGCAGTGACCTCCAATTGTACCTGGAGATTTTTCCCTCCATTCATAGGATAATTAGGAATTATGTTCTCCTTCTTGTGAAAGGACCAAGCTGCTGCATGGTTCTCCATCTGGAAGCCAGTTCCAGGCCACCGCCAAAATCCAAGTTCCCTCGGAAGGAACAATGACAAACTGCAATACTTCAATTTAACGAAGGAAGGCAATACTTGGGCAGAGAAGCAGAGGCCACAGAAGGTGAGGAAGACAGTACCAACATCTGGAAGGAGATGAAGGAGGGTGGGAACTTACTGTTTTCTTCCACCAAGATGATTGAAAGCTTAGAAAATAAGGCCTTTAGGAAAGATTAAAGGGGCCATGTAGAGAGGCCAATGCAGAGAGACAATGCAGCCTAAAATCCTGAGTAGCAAGCGTTTGATCAGCAGCAATAGGGACTAGGAAACAATACCTCCAAGAACTTCCTGTGTGATAGTATCTCAAACACTGCATTAAACAAAGTTTTTCTAATATACCACATAACTTCCCCAAAATAGCTTTTAAGATATATTTGCTGAACAGAGTATTAGATAATGGATCATAAGATCCATATGTAAGATAAACTCATCATGAGTTTTGAAAGAAGATTCATTGAGATAAATTTACCTACAACTAAACGTTTGTATAGGTTTGTCAAGTGTTGACAAATATGTGCATTCAGGAAGCACTGCCATAGTTAGAACCCAGGCTCCACATCAGTTCAACTCCCTGAGCCCCTTTGCCTTCAGCCCTTTGTCCTAGCCCTCAGTTCTGAGAAACTATTCACCTTATTTTTGTCCCTCTAGCTTCCTGGTGCCCCCAAGCATCCTCTAAATCTACCATTCAGCCTGGAATCTCTATGTCTATTTCCATAATGCATTGACATTTACATAAATTGTTATGTATATTTATTCCTTTCTATAATGGAATAGTAGTCTGTTGTGAGTATAAGTCAGATTTTTTTTTTTCTGTTCACTGGTTGATATCTATTTCTGTTTTAACTATATGAATAAAGGTCCTATAAAAACTCAAGTACAAAAGTTTATATGAATATATGTATGTTTTCATTTATTTTAAGTAAATATCTAAGAATGACTTTAGAGTTTACACTTCATATATTTTTTAAAATTTCAAGAAAACACTAAATCGATTTCAGAAG